TTGTTGAACCTCATCAGGTTCCTCTCTGCCCAACTTTCCAGCCTGTCCAGGTCACGCTGAATGGCAGCACAGCCTTCCGGTGTATCTACCACTGCTCCCAGTTTGGTGTCATTGGCAAACTTGCTGAGGGTACATTCTGACTCTTCATCCAGGTCATTGATGAAGAAGTTAAACAAGACTGGGCCCAGTACTGACCCCTGAGGGACACCACTAGTTACAGGCCTCCAACTAGACTCGGTGCCGCTGATGACAACCCTCTGAGTTCTGCCATTCAGCCAGTTCTCAATCCACCTCACCGACCACTCATCCAGCCCACACTTCCTGAGCTTCCCTAGGAGGATGTTATGGGAGACTGTGTCGAAAGCCTTGCTGAAGTCTAGGCAGACAACATCCATGGCTCTCCCTTCATCTACCCAGCCAGTAGGGAAGGCTAATTCATTGTCATTATTCAGTGATACCTGTTGAAATTCGATAATTGAGATCACAGTGATACTTAATGAAACGCATGGAAATAGATCATAAGACTGCAGACAAGATAGCTTCTTATGATTTACTAATGTCAATATCACAGTCATCCTATGAAAAAAAGATTATAAAAATTCTGATATAATAGAGAAAGTGCATAGAGCACAATATATGTAATTGGGTAAATTATATAAATTTTAATTTGAATAAACTAAGCACAATAATGAAGAAATATTATTTAAATTATTTTTAAGACATTCCCATGTTCCTCTATTGATTAGACTCATTTAGAACTTGAAATTATAAAAATGTGTTTTTCACGTCAAAGTTTGTCACAAGGGCTGACACACTTTTAAATCATATTTTACTCCTGCAATGTAGAAAGAAATCATTCGTTGGTTGATGTATTGCAAGAGTGTTAAACTAGCAGGGAACACACAAAACCCATTTTCATTTGAATGGTATTTCCTCACAGAGAAGGATGCAAACCTAACGATGGTGTAGATGCACATTTTAAAGAGGCTTTCTTACTACGAGCAGGTTTCACCTTCTCTAGATTAGCTATGTACATCTGAGAAAAGTACCATACAGTGCTTACTGTGAGCATAGCAAAAATCTTCCAGGGAAGAAACCAGCTGGTCAACTTATGAATGCCTGTTTTTCACCAGTCACTAGTAATGAAGTCTCAGTCATTGGAAGAAGTAAACATCTGCTTTCAGCAACATGAAGCCTGCCCTAGAATTCCCTCAGATATCTTCTGGTACCCAAAGCTGCTGACAATTTCCAAAAGCTATAACGGTCCTTGTTCATGAAAAATAAATAATAAAAAATCTAACATACGTACATATACAGTGGGGAACAACTGGTGTTTAGAAGACGTGAAGTATGGATTGGTAATGGGGTTTTACAACACCAAATGGTATTGTGTTATACAAGGGCAGTAAAATTGCTTTATTTTAGTTCTTTGTAGCAGAGTCTGTCTCCTGTGGGGTGTGATAATGTCTACAAAAGCTAGTCATCATCCTCAGATCCTATGGTCAATACACAGGTACCATGTTTTGAGTCAGAATATAATCTGGGAAAATATAAAAAACTTTTAAGATATAATTAGTAGGCAAGAGTTCTTGACCTGGTGGAAATGTTTTAACAATTCACAGATAATGAAGACGTTGTATACTACAGACACTAACGAAAGACTGAAAAAGTGAACTGCAAAGATTTCCTTTTTGTCTTTATTCTTCTCTATTTATGATTGATGTCTGTTATACAGAGAGTATTATTTAACTGGCCTTCAGATCATGTCTTCATTATTTCCTGCTATAATAAAAGCACAAGATTCCAATAACGGAATACCAAGTCAACAGTCTACAAATCACTACGGCA